CCACCACAAACAGGGGCTGCTTGGCATCAGCAGCCCTTGTCCTTGGGCAGCCCACCTCCCTCCTGGGACAGGGGCTGCTGCTGGAACAGCTTTGCCCACTGCGAGCCTCGGTTGCTTTGCAGCAGCCTCTCCTATTCCCACTCTGCTGCCTCAGATAGATGGGGGGAGAAGGGGAACAGAGCAGGCAGAACCACGGAGACGGTGCTGGAGGGAACCAGCTTTTAAACCGGCTCCCCCCAGCACTGGATCCTGTCCCTCCTGGGGGGGGGGGGGGGGGAAGCGAGTAGTTAATACTGCAGGTGACTACTCGTTTACATCCCTACTGTACAGGGAAAAAATGAGGGGAAAGATCTCAGCGTAAATTGGAAGACCACTGAAAGCACCCATGTACAATAATTGCTTTTCTGTGTATGAATTATTAAATCAAGAAACAACTGACTGGAAACAAAGATAATTAAATATTGCGGTAGAATGCTGTTGAGAGAAACTTGCTCTACTGCTTTCAAGAACAAAGCTGAACTGCCCCACCCATGCATGTTTTGAAAGAAGCTACAATGTGGTTACACATACAAAAGCAAATGAGTGGAGAACTGATTGCTTATCCTAAAATAAGTTGACTCCTAAACAAAATCTCCATTAACAAATAGTGCCACCTTACCTAAATGTGTTACTGTAATAAGTTATATGTTGCAACAAAGAAGCAGCTCAAATGTTAATTTGGTAGTATAATCCATTTAACATTCCATTTTAAGCATTCTTGGCTGCAATAGAAAGAAAATTCGTTTTCAAAGAAATTGCTGAAATGTAAAATGAGCTACAGCTCATGATGCAATACCTAATAAATATTGTACAGCCGCTCCCCAAGTTACGAACAAGTTATGGACCAACGCTTGGTCTGTAACTCGAAGTGTTCATAACTCGGATCCCATAGAATTACATGGCGACCGCGCTGTTCGTAAGCACGGATCACCGTTCGTAACTCAGATCCACATTTACGACCACTTTGGTCGTAAGTGTAGGTGGTTGTAACTCGGGGAGCGGCTGTATCTTAAAAGAATAAGTTGGGAAAGGCAGCTGTCCCACAGCTTTTGTTTTTCTTTAGATTGTGTGTAACTAAGCTCTACATCTTCCCTTCCAAAATATTTTAATTGTCAGATATTTGTGAGCTGTTAGAAAAATTATATGCATCAGATAATACACACAACATTTTTTTTATAGTTCCAGATTTAAAAAGAGCCTTTGCAAATTCCAGGGTCAGCTTGAAACAATAAGGTTTATGTGTCAGCCTCTACCCCAAAGTACTGTTGCAAGTACAAAACCAAAAATTCCAACTAAATAACCAAATCACTAAAGACAGGATTTCTTTTTTAAAGATTGTATTAAATAACAATCAGAATTTAATACGACTAATATCTCTGCAACTCAAAGTTCTAATATTTACATTTAAGGGAAAATAATGCTGCACTTGATTTTGTTCATAATTCTTGTGTTCAAATGCCTGCAAATGTATTGTCATGACATGTAATAGAGCCATTTGCAATTTGGTGGTTTATTATATAATGAATGTAAAGCGACAATTTAAAAAACAAAAATAAAAAACTTTCATTTCTGAAACTAACTGTACTATAAACATTTTATTGTAATTGCAGTATTAAAAGTATAACTAGGGAAAAGTAGATATTTTTTCTATAGTGCCAGTAGTGTGTCTGGTGCTTTACTGACAAGTAAAAACCTGAGGTACCTGGTGCCTAAAAGACTTTACAATCTAATTAGACAATTAAAAAAAAACCTCTCTAGAAGCAGTTAATTTGAATAACAAATTTTAGCATCCTGTTGTTTAATTCTAGCGGTTTTGTTTTGAATCTTTGATTCACAAAAACACACACTAACTTTCAGATTAGTTTATGGTAATATTAAGATAAAATGAGCATTTCTAAGGTCTTGACTACAGTACAAAGTTTTGTTGGTAAAAGTTATGCCTGTTTGTTTAAATTGCTTTAATTCAAACTGTTGTTGCATGTCCATACTAGCTCCTTGTGTCAGCGAAGTGCATCTTGCATCAACATAGAGAACAGTGCAGTGTGGTAGCTATCTCATTATGCAACTAACCACAGGATGCTTTGGGAAGAAGGGTTTGCAGTGCTTCATGGGACAGAAAAGTATCACATGATGTAGGGTTCTCTATCCCTTGATCCCAAGGGAATCCTAGTAGATTATCAGCTGCTTTTTCAACTGAAGCGTTTGTGGCGGGGGACGGGCAGGAGGAGAGTGGTGTGTCTGGGGTGGGATAGACAGCTGGCTGAGGCTGGGGAAGGGCAACACTTCCCACACATTAGCCCCCCCCCACTCTGCTCAGTATAGCAGTCTTTCTCAAAGCAATCCACTCTGCCTATCTGCCTGTGTTCTGTGTGTTTCTTTCTGAGTTCTCCCACAGCCTCCTCCGCTGCTGAGAGCTGCATCCTAAGCACCTGTGTGAGCTCTCAGTGCTGTCAAAGCAGTACCGCAATCTCTCTCAGCTCTGTGCTGCAGCAGTCTGCCTGCCACGGTGTTCCTAGTGCAGGGTATAACAGGAGTCTTCCATGCTAATGATTTTCTCTTTTTTCCCTAAATGGAGCAGCAACCTCAGCTGTCAGATACTTCCTCAAGCTTTGAAGGGGGTGGGGCACCTGCCTGCAGGGCCACAGAGATCAAAACAGTGCGCAGAGTGGTCTGGGCAGGCAGTTGTGGAATACTGTAGAAGCCAAAACAAACAGTAGTGTCTACATTGATGCTTTGTCCCTTTAACTTTGCTCCAGCTTTATGCCCCTCATTGAGATGGTTTTATTTTGTGGGCAAAATAGCAGGGGATTGGTGCTAAAAGTGTGTGCATGCGTGCACATTGTTTTTTCAAGTGTGCCTAAACGCTGGGTGCATGTTTTGCCTGTTTCTGTTAGTGTGTGTATGGTGGGGAACCTTTTTTGGGTAGGGGGCCGCTGACCCACAGAAAAATCAGTCAGGAACCACATACAAGTGAGAAGCTAAATGGGAAGCCCTTGACTCAGAAAGAAAAAGACACTCTCCATAATCCTCTCGCTCACCAGAGCATAGGCTAGTAGATTTTTTGTGCTCCAACCTTGCGGGTAGGTGGCTGGGTAACAGCACCAGTGCGGGCTCCCCTATTCTGAACCTCGGGGGCCAGATCCAGGTAAACTGAGGATCCCTACCCTGGTTTTAAAGTATTCACCCACCAAACGTCAGTGGCTGAAGCTTTAGTAGTAATTATAGGACCCTGTAAAGGGGATTCTTCTTCGAGTGATTGCTCATGTCCATTCCATGTAGGTTGGGGTGGGTGAAAGGGCCTCCGCAGGCCAGATACA